CATTAAGGTCTTGCGGTTTCTGTCTTGCGTAACAGCTAAAGAAAAAGTCAATACCCGTCATATTGACACGTTTTCATATTTATTCCCACGCAATATTACATGACTTCCCCCTGCTTGCCTGCCCTCCCCCCCCCAGCTTGCAGCCTAAGGCCCTTCACTGACTTCGATTATTCAGATAACTAATGAAAAGAGTGCACACTTTCACGTGTCATTTATGTACTGTGACACGTGCCGCGTAAGTGATTGATTTTTTTCTAAAGCAAATGACGAAATTTAAGAAAGCATTTAAGCACAGATAAGTTTAGTGGGTATGTTATGGTTCTTAACACTATCGGTCAAGCTTATAGTAACCCCAACCCTCTGTCATCAATTATCATTAAATAGCACTCTCACTAATGTACGTAGTATAAACACACTTGACAGCAGTGATCCCTCTGATCAGTAGACAATGTATATTATTCAGCACACTTAGAAATAAAGTTAGTTGTTGTAGTCAAGTCCTTCTTGGAGTTGTTTCATGGTGTCAGAAGTGGGATCAGGATTCTAGTTCCTTTTAGAATAAGGCCATCAAATACTGACAATTCATCACGGTAATTCCAATAGTCGTGGAGGTGCGATGGACACTCTGACCTAGTGTTTGGCCATCCGTTTGTGATGAAGTTTCGAAGAGAGTGAAGCGTCTCGTCCTTGGACGTTTCTTCTCGGATCTGCTTTAGTCTGGTGGGGCTTGCATATTCAGCTGCATGTCGATCTCATGCACTGTGACATCTACACCTTGAATGGTGTCACCTTCGCATTTTGACAATCTGGAAAGAGCATCAGCGACTGGAATGTTCTTTCCTGGCACATATTTGATTGTTACATCATATTTCTGAATGCGCAACATCATCCTTGCGATTCTGGGAGGTGCATTGTTCACATGTTTCTGGAATATGGATTGGAGAGGCTTATGATCACTTTCAACAGTGACTTTACGGCCATAAGCGTAGTAATGGAACTTCTCTAATCCATGTACAACTGCAAGCATTTCACGCTCTATGTTTGAATACCGCGTCTCGGTTTCTGTTAGTAATTATGCATGAACAATGTCATATAGCTCTACTAGCTAGGATTTTATTTATCACTGTATTTACTTTATTTTACTTAAACTACATGCACATGTGAAGCATGTAGTTTAAGCACTTAAACTACATGCTTCACATGTGAGACTTCTATTGCACAAGGTATTACTCAAGAAATCAAAAAGACATTTATTCTGTGTTGCCACTATCAACCCTTGATTTAGCACCGATTATCTTTTCAAATGGAAGAAGGGGATGTTATGGTTCTTAACACTATCGGTCAAGCTTATAGTAACCCCAACACTCTGTCATCAATTATCATTAAATAGCACTCTCACTAATGTACGTAGTATAAACACACTTGACAGCAGTGATCCCTCTGATCAGTAGACAATGTATATAATTCAGCACACTTAGAAATAAAGTTAGTTGTTGTAGTCAAGTCCTTCTTGGAGTTGTTTCAGGGTACGTAGTTGGTGTGGTTGGACTTGAAATGACTTTCTACCTGTTTAGCCTGTTTTACAGTGTACTAAAGAGATATATCTATATTATTACATATATATATAAATGTATATACTAAAAAATACTAACTTTATGTTCGTCATTGTTCTAAAACGCTGAATAAGTTATGATTTAAATACAGAAGATTCCTTCTGTATTTAAATGAAAACGAAAGAAATGTATTTGTTTCAATCTAAACAAGATAGATAGATAAATAAATAAATAAATAAATAAATAAATAAATGTAGATTTGTTAATTGGATGGTTGGTTAATTGACGACTGCTTTAATTAATTGATTAATTAGTACAGTTCTTGTTCATGTGGCTAGGCGTGGAGACGGGAAGGACTGCCTCTTTCTACCACCAGCAACGACGCCTGCAAGATGTACGACGCTGTCCTCACACAGGTACCGTATAACTAGGTCTTAGGCGCTTTTTTAAATATACACACACTGGACAAAAGAAGTGTCACCCCCTAACTCAGAGTAATAAAAGTAGGCAGATCTTGGGTATTTATAATGCCTGGTCTACTTATAATGTGACTAATGAGTATAAAACCGCTATACCATGGAATTGTATTGTTGGTCTTGTACATGTACAGCAAATGTTATTCCTGTCTTCCTCCAATATGGTAAGATACAGGCAATTATCTAACGGTTATAGGTGCAAGTTATTAACCTGAAGAGGCGGAATATAAGCAATGTCAGAATATCGATACAATTGAATTGTTCAGTCAGAGCCGTGCAGAGGGTCTGGTCTCGGTATAGAAACACTGGATCAAGAGACAAATTGCCTTTGATGGGTCGTCCAAGAAAAACTACTGGCCGTGAAGACCGACGACTGATTTTGATGTCCAGGTTGTCAAAGTTCGACACTGCTTGTCAGTTGACAACACAGTGGAACAATTTCACACATAAGAATGTGTCTGTGAAAATTGCTAGGCGTCGGTTACATGCTCAGAGAGTGTACAGCAGGGTAGCAAGACTGAAACCTCTTATATCGTTACAAAACAGGCAACGTAGAGTAAACTAGGGTCAACAGGATCTGGAACTGGACAGTTCATGACAATTGGTCCTATATAT